ATTCCTAAACGACATGGTATATTAGGTGAGGTCAATACTTCAGTATGATATTTTTTTGTTGGGCATCACTCACCTTATTGAAATCACAAGGACTGCGTTCTCGTGATTTCAATAAGGTGAGTGATGCCCAACAAAAAATTATCATACTGAATCAATTTATTGCTACTGAACACAAGGTCGATGTTGAATTTTATGTGACAACCATCAAGAGATTTTGTACAGTTATCTTTCAAAAAGAAGATAAGACAAATGACGTAGAAAAACAGAAAACTCAAATAGCAAAGAAGACTAATCAAGAGTAAGAATAATCATCTGATGATTTTCCTTTACCATTCTCATTGGCAACAGTTGTTGCCAACAAGCAGCACAGTTGTTGTTAGACAGATAGCTACTTTCTACAAAGTCTTTGAAACATCCTGCACTAGCGTGGTCCAGGATTGCCGATGTCTCTTCATTAGACAAGCGAGGTTCATTTCCCTCCAAGGACACTCGGATGTAATGACGAGTCTACCATTAACGGCGATGATAGATTACAGATTAGAGCTGAGGAAAAGTAAACACGAGTATAACAAGAGCAATCTAGATCCTCGATAGCAACCAAGGTCGACCACAACTATAGTTCGGCCGCTTAGAAAACGACCTGCGCGCTAATGCTAAACCAATGTTGGAGGAGGTCGCTTTCTAAGCGGCCGAACTATAACAGTGATCTCATATGAGAAAATTGGGCGTCTTTGTTCCATCATCTCCAAATAATCACGAAACTGTGTAGTCTTCAACTATCGGATGCCCTACGGTGACTCAATATGTTTCCACGATAACGTTGTTGTTATTGTTACAGTTAATAGATTCAAATTGAAGCCAACGTTAGGTGTGCTTTTTTAAATGCAGTTTTCCGTAATCCACGTCAACTGTCAATTAAGTCGAAACTGAGAGGGCAATTTTTCTAGCTTCTAGCATGGGGTTGTTTTCACATAGCTTCATGGACATTACACAGGGACAGAAGTCCCACGCTCTTCCACTAGACCAGCTCGTCCCCCAGTGCCTGTTAGTAAGATACTAGCGACTAATTGAATTATTTTTGTCAATAAACAGTCTTTATGTTCAGTATTTAAAAGGCCAGCTGATCATATGCGAGTGAGAGAGAGAGAGAGAGCTTAAAAAAATGGCTACAAAAATTCATTGATACAAATTTAAAAATGTAAACATTCTAGTTCCAAGTGCAATGCATTTTACCTTCCTCATATAGTTTTGTCTATCTATTTTCACTTTCCTCCTCTTACATTATTCCATTTCAAAACTCTTTCTTTGTATAATCAATTGACCGCTTTATTTTTAACTCAAATTGTGTGTGTGTAGTTCAAAAACTCTAAAACTGTCATTTTTAAGATTAGTTCTTTAGAAAAACACAAGTTACTTGTAGGCCTACATCATCTAGACCTTCCAGAACTTCATGTGTGGTAACCTTCACTAAATTCTAAACTAAACCAAAAGTCCATCATTTTTATTTGCTGTTGTTTTGCAAAATTAAAAACTCCATATACAGTCCACTTTTATTATTGTAAAAAGAAACTTTAAAATACGCTACATTTTATTAGACAGTCGAAACATAGTAATGGTTTAGTGGTCAAATCACAGGACTTCTACCTAGATTTCCGATTTCAAACCACGCCAATCACCCATGGCTTTTAGCTCCGGTGGTTCGGACCCCACAAAAGCTGCAATGCAAATCCAACTATCTAGAAAACAAAAATCTCGCAAGCAAGAAGAACATTCCCAGAATCGAAGATATCTTTAAACTAAACCCCAAACGATACAATTGGTTAAGGTACATCTACTAATTGTCCTCAACAATAGCTGGGAAGGCTGTTGAGGATGATGTTTGACGCAACAATTTAACTTCGCACAATACGCAACAATGACACAATACCGTCCACAAAGTCTACACAATCGCGCCATTGTGATCCGTGTCGCCAGGAACATGCTGTAGGCTGCTGACTTTCCTTATTTATCCTTACGTTAAATATTTGATATTAGACTGAGGAGACATATTGGATTTAATTTGTTTGGGTAACAAGGTATAAAAATGTGATTAACTTGCTTAGTCATCAATCAAAAGCTAAGTAGAAAATCCTGATCATAATGGCAGTACGAGGAAAAATATAGTTTATTATTACACAGGCAAAAACTATCTTCGTATGAAATAACGAGTGAATCTATTCAATCCCTAGTAACGTAACATACTTGTACGTCCCTTCGCACGCACTGAACCATTGTTGTTGTAAATGAGAAAATAAGCATACTGTACAGTGATTTAAAAAATTAAATTGTTAACCAAAACGCCCTGGCCTATACTACTTATGGAGAACCATCTGGAATATACGTATCTGCAATTTAAAATAAGTATTCATCCCAGATGCTTTATATTCAACACAATATCCCACAGAATGATGTTATATGGTATAGAATATCATTGACCCACATAAAAAGACAATCCAATTTCGTCTTTTCAGTACTTCCTTCGCCGTTATTTATTTAAGTATTATGATCATAAGGCAAAAAGGTTAACACTTTTATGATGCGAGTCTGATTTTAGTGCTTCATACCGAAATTGTTACCCTTAGTTACAATTTTGAACCAGAAATACTATTGGTTGGTGCAAGAAATGAATTTTATTATTACAGGTAAGTAGACCCCATATCCTAAAGGTAAAATCGGATACTATTTTGATTAGTGTTTAAAGTCCAGTTGCGTTTAAGTGGGCTGATGTCTAAAATGTTTCCCTCTTATTTCAAGATATATTTTACAATACGTGCTATACTCAAGGTTGTAAAACCAATTTTAACAAAAGCTTACTAATAGATTTTTATATTGGTTTAAATCAGTTTTTAAGTTGGTCGAATACCAACCAATAAGCAAATAGCAAGATTTAACTGGACAAATTCATATCTTAAATTGTCTTCAGGTGATCCACGTGGATAAATGAATATTATGTGCTCTATAGGATCTATTTGAGAGTATGCTTAATCCATGGCGCTATCCTCTATATCCACAATCGTAGTCCCTCTAGTAATCATATGTAATTCAATATCTCAGCGATTACATACAGACCCCAGTCAACCGCAAGACTACCCTTGGATGCCAATGCAAGTCAAATTCACCAATGTACAATGCAATTATATAATTATTAACATGGGTATTGCCAGTACACTTATCACCCTATTTCATGTTTAATGTGATAGCTGTTGGTTTACTTTTCCTGTGTTGCTTATTTGAAACATAATGCCAGAGTTTATTAATATTAAATTTGTATATTACTGAATATTTTATATAAATCTATTTATTACTTTTAAAACATACATCAAGGGTATTCCACTAGATCTTCTTAAAAATGTAATTAATGGACCATTGACAGGTATCAATCAATTATCCTGTTAAATTAAGAAAATCGTTTAAGAAACGGCTGTTTTGTTTGCATATTTTTTTTAGAATACTCTTTGTAAAAAACGTAGTCGGTTGCAATAATTTATTCTTTCAACTGTATATATCCAACTTACTAAAATGAACCAGCTATTATGATTCTTTTCTTTACACTTTTGATGGGTGATATTTCAATTTATTTATCTCCCACATTAAAGTAATAATAGACCTAACATGTTTACCTACAATAAACATGACGTTTAAATTGATATAAATTTTAAAATATTTGAAATTAGATGATGACAGTTATCATCCAATACAGTAGTTATTATTATCAAAAGTAGTACAATTATAAAACTATTAATCCACAATAGTTACTATTACGACTGAACATTTGAAAAATACAGGGATATAGTTAACTAATTAGAATCTAAAAAACATAAAAATGGTGGGGAAATTCAGGTGGTTAAAAAGAAAAACCTCAAACTGTACAAAGAGTGTTTATTTACTTTGGGCTGAACAAGACACAGCTCGTAAGTAAGGTAACTTACATACGGGATCTAACAAATTAACTAAACAGTCATGTAAAGACGACTGTACCAGCTGAATGTACAAATATACAAAAAGATAAAATACAAATATATAACTAAAAATTCAAATGTAATATTGTACGTCCATTTTGATATAGCTTTTCGATATCTTAGTTGTAAAATAATTTTTACAATATAAACATCTTATAAATATAGTTTGGTCGTTTATTTTCGAGTAAAATCGAATTCTTGAGTGACATTTAGATAAACTAACGTCTTAAAAAATAAGCGAATTTCAAAAGTGATGTTTCTGATAAAAATAAACAATGTACATACAATAAGAAATCAGTCTTATATACATATACTAAAATATATATTGAACATATTCGATCAACAAGACCAAAGATATGTAATGAACAAACGTTTTTATTTAGTACCTGGACAAATTGTGTAAATTACATTCATTCATGAATGAATTTTAAAGCATCAAATACATTTTGTTTTTTTAAAAACGAAATCACAAATCTTCCAATTGCCAATCAATATCAAATTGACATAGCATTGAACTAAATAATAATGAATTCCTACAGTAGTCGATTTTTACTATTCAATAATAAGTTTACTAAAAAATCTCAGAGCAAGGTTTAGGGATTGATGAAAATTCGTGTAACGGTAGTAAATAAGAACCAAAGCGTCAATAAAGTTATGATATTGACTATCACTATTACATTTCACATGAGAGGTTGGCTATTAATCAAGATGATTCTGTCTAGAGAGTTAATAGCTAACATATCTATTCGAGGGAGTAGTAGATATTAAGATGAAGAACGACTTGTGTGAGAGAGAAATGGAGGAACCAAACGAGAGAGACAAAGAGAGTAAATCTGTAGGCGGTAGAAACATATTCTCCATAAGTGCAATGACCTCTCTCTCTCTCTCTCTCTCTCTCTCTCTCTCTCTCTCTCTCTCTCTATCTCTCTCCCTCTCTCTCTCTCTCTCTCTCTCTCTCTCTCTCTCTCTCTCCCTCTCTCTCTCTCTCTCTCTCTCCCCCCTCCTTCCATAATCCTTCCTCTACTCTCCTCCATTCCCTCGTCATCATTGTAGTTTATAACAAGCATGAATAGAGTTAATACAGTTTTCTAACAACATTGTCATATACCTGAGGGTGAATAAATTTTTGATATAACATCTGTACCTGGTTTTATTTTTTAATATTAACACCTTGAGTGCAGTTATGTTGAATGAAACTTGCTAATGATATAGTTTCCATGTTAGAAATCACGCTCAATGAATTTTATTTATTTTCATGTTTTATTCAAAAAGCCAACAATATAAAAAACAAATTAACACGACTCTCCAATGGAAGAACCCAGCGTGGACAATATTTGTATATTCTTTAAAACTATTGATTTATATATATTTGTTAAAATATTGATCGGTGTTGCAAGCCATAAATAGTTTTCGAACAGGATGATTGGCAGAAAAACATAACATGCAAGAACTCCAGAATTGAACTTTAATTTTTTTCTAGCAGGGTCAACAAAAAGAATTTTGGCTCCTCTGAGAGAAAAAAAAAACGGATATGATACGATGTTACAAGGGATATGTTTGTGCCTGGTCAAATTGATTATTGGGGGGCTACATTGATGTGTGTTTATTGTACATAACAATTTTCTTAAAAAAAATTTTCATCTGTGATGTATTTGTTGATATTAATACAAGCAATTGTTGGATCATCTATTAAGTTATTTGATTTCAAAAATAGAAATATTATCCCTACAAGCAGTTCAAGCAAAACATTTTTATATGTTACCAGCACTAATTATATAAAAAGAAACAATACAGATCAACCAAAAGAGTCATAAAAAAATCTACGGTCAACTTTTAAAGTGTTCAGTTTTAATTATAACTGGTTAGAATTTTGAACCACAAGGGGGGATGACCAAGTTTTAATACTATGTTGGCAGTATTTAATTCTATTGAATAATTAGTAAAAGCTGTCTACATAAATGTTGAAAACTCGTTTTCGGAGAAGAGTACACATAGTGTAGGGATAAGATTTACATTCTTTCAAGTTCAAACGGTGTTTTAAAATAAATCTAGTAGAAAAATGATATGATGACGAAATATCAAAAGCTGGTCTAAATTCAACTATTTCACAATGACATAATGTTGAATGAATCTCCCAATAATATAATTACTACAGTATTCATTTTTAAAATGAAAAGTTCTTAGCAAAAGTAAAAAATGTGATGGTCTTATTTTAATAATTACTTTGCATTAGGAATGGCAAAGCAAGGTTTACAAACTTTACTTTAATCTTAGCGTAAGGTATTAAACAAACAAGCAGAATGAAAAATACATATTTGAATAATTTAAATACAAGCTTCAAAGTCAAAATATACTTTTAAGTTGATTATTACAAAATGGAACTTTTTAGCACCGCAGAAATTGACAGTAGTTCAACAAATTGTATAAATATTTGAAACAAAAACACTGAGACAGATAACATTTATGAGGCATAGAATAAACAGCGAAGGACAGTAAAACATTGAAGACAGCAAGTTTGAAACATTAAGAGAAGTTAACAACACAACAAATTGTATAACAACGAACTTGTTATGGTGTGTCAAATGTTAAAAACAAAACTTTATAAATAAAAGCGTATTCCATTTTGCAAATAAATTATTTATTTTAACCAAGAGGTGATTATGAGGCTTAAACCTCTACTTATAATACATCTACTCTATTCATACTACTTGTAACAACAAGGATAAATGCAAAAATCGCAATAACAACTTACAAAATTACAATAAACAATATACAATAACAGTTTTGTCAATATTTTTAAATATTGTGTCATCAATTGGTGTCATTATATCGAACCTCAAAACTAAATTACAAACACAATACGTTGGACTAGTAAAAATGAGTAGGCCTACAACTTAAAACAAAACTAACTAAATATTTGTTTGAGCTGCATTTTGATTTTTATATTACAATGTTTGATTCAACATATTTTACCGCTATTCAATGGGATGGTTATTTAGCAACATTTCTAAATAATATTGCTAGATAAATATAATTCAATATAAATATAATTAAATATAAATTCAATGATAAGTACTATCTTTTTGTAAAAAAACTTTATTGTATTTTTTGAAAATATTTTGTAGTTGTATTAGTTTTTAGAGGTTAAATGTAAGAAAGGACCACGAGGTCCTAAGTTGACCTCAAGAAAGAAGGATTTTCATTTCATTTCATTCAAAAAATACTAAAACTTAAATTTACAAAATTGAATAATTATTAGTCTTTAAATAAATTTTGGACCAAATACAAAAATGTAACCACTCAAATATGGTATCATGTAAAATATTTCAGGTGGTAGAAGATATTGAATCAATTCAATGCTCAAGCAATGATAAATAATTGCATTGTTGAGTCTTGATCAAAGAAAACTAACAGATGTCATCTTGGAGAAAGATTTACAAAAGACATTTACACTTTTTACACCCATTTAATTAGTTAATTAGCTCCAATACTAAGGAGCATAATCACCTAGTAAACATAAATTTCAAACTTTGTTAAAATAACTCATAAACCACCCCTTCTGCAACAATCCTAAAGATTAATTTCTAGATACTTAACGGAGTTTTAATTGAAACTGGAAACCAAACAAAAATAACACCTAGATCCAATTTTAGAATCAGAGTGATCCATGCGTTCTGAATTAGTTTAGCTACAACGCTACAACTAGGAACACAATAATTTTAGTTTTGATTTAATTTCAAATCCGTTTAAATTAAAGTACAAATTTTTGTTAAAATAAGCTACTTTACACTCCCTCAAACTCATCCTCATACATAAAGTTTTCTTTGAACAAGACTCGCAAAATATACATCGGGTCATTCTTACATTAAATCATAGTTACAAATATACAAGTTTCGCATATGTACATTATACGTACGCCTCCACTCGACGTCCTCGCACCCTGTGGAAGAACTCCTTCCAGCTGTTGAACGTCTTCCCGCTCCAGATCCAGAAGGAAGATGTGATGCCTACGATGAGGCACATGAGGTATTTGATCATGAAAACTTCAAAGTCTGGCTTTCTGCCGACCTCGCGGTTCAGAGGACAGGGGATGCTGTAGGAGTTGTGGCGTGAACACATGTCCATGTGCCAAGTCACCATCCAATGGTCGAAGTAACCTTGCTCGTAGAACAGACAGGCTACCACGATGAGTGCGGGTACCTGGAAAACACATATATTGTATTTTACTTGGGTCTAACCATTTAACCTACTGATGTGGTTTAGTATTAAATACCTAAATGCTTCAAATCTTCACCCTTTCCAATGTCAAATATGGCTTTAGTTGGGGGTGCAATGCAAAACGTTTCCAAATTTTATTTATGATTGATAGTACCAAATGCAAGTCTAGTAACCATTTAGCTTAGAGACGAGGAGACGGTATGAAAATATACAATGTACATTGTAAAAATGTTCATCCTTTTTAGGCCCAATATGGGTTTAAATGGGGATGTGAGAAATCTTCAAAAAACTTGATTATGTTTGCCAGGGATATGACGGTTTTCTTCACTAAACCACCAAAAGGAAATAGATTTGGAAGACTTAAAAAAAAAAAAATAGAGATGTATCCCTATGAGTCATAACTCATCATGAATGTTTTAGACCAGCGCTTTAGTTTTTCAAAACATTTTTTGCTGAGACTTATATTGCATCGTAGTTAGAAGACGTATTGCACCTATTTAGCAAATAGAAGGAACTTAAACACTTAGAAATGGAATGGAACTTGAAGAGTTCGGATAAGTAATAATACCAAAATCATGTTTAAGTAGGTTAAATGTTTAAAAATTTTAAAATCTATCGATGTTGTAAAGATCCTGGACTTTATAAAAAATGAATTTGACTGCAGATCCAGGTTTCTTGAACAAAATAAATAATTCTTCTGTATAAAGTTAGTTCTTAGCTTTAATCCAAACATGTAAAAGTCACTGTACTTCTAAATCCCATAATAATACCATACTTATTAGAATTATGGTGAACTTTACCAACATAGTAACATTTTATGGCATTATTCAGAGATATCAGGGGATATTACCCTACTTTTGGATACATAAGAGACCCCTTTCTACATGGACCAGCTGTGGCAAATTTGTAAAGGAACATATTAGGCACGTCGCACACTGGGTCCGCTCAGTTCAGTCACAGAAAACATACCAGTCGGCTCAGCTCTGCTCAGGTCAGTCAGCTTAGTTCAGGCAGTTTTCCCACACACTGCGTCAGTTCGGTTGTTTTTGAGCGCCAAACGCCAGTGGGCGACGGACGCTGTCATTGTTCGCAAGTAAATTATTAATTTGTGCCGGGGTTTCCGTTAGTCTGATTATGAGTTTCAGCAGTAGTGACAAATAAATTGCTGATATAGCACTGGCACTAGCTGCAGAAGAGGATGATTACCTCCGTCATTGTAATATTGTAGTAATCCTTGTTTGACAGGTCTGATTCTGATAACAATGGAAATGTTTGTAAAACAGAAATAAGTTGTTCATTGGAACTCATCTTTTAATAAATAATCACTTTAGGCCCACTACGAACATGTGTCAGACCACCCGAATTCAGTTGCACAACACTGGCTGATGTACTCTGCATAAGCATGGCGCCTCCGGTCCTTCCGTCGCGTCCGTCCAAATCGCTCGCTAACCAAAAAGTGGATGAGACGGACTGAGCGGACTGAACTGAACTGACGGAACGGACCAGTGTGCGGCTCTACATTTGAATACATGGTTTTCGAAATTTGCGGAACCGACTGAACTGAGCGGACTCAGTGTGCGACGTGCCTGAAAGGAGCCAATCATAGAGAGTGTTTGGTTTAAAAATCTTTGCCCACAGACACTTATTTCAAAAGAACAGGTAACTAATCCAAACACTCACCGTATAGAGGACGGAAAACACTCCGATGCGAATCATGAGCTTCTCTAACTTGTCAGTCTTGGTGCCGTCATGTTTCATGACTGTACGGATGCGGAACAGAGAGACGAAGCCTGCCAGCAGAAACACTGTCCCTAGGGCGAGATAGACCAGCAGAGGGGCTAAGACGAAGCTGCGGAGAGTTTCTACGTTCCACAGACCAACGTAGCACACTCCCGTCAGTATATCACCTGCAACACAACATGTACACGTCAATATAGTTGGAACAAATAGAAGTAGATGTTATTTGATGGATAATTACAGACATTTTCTATGCACAAAGTTGTCAAAGACGTTCCTAGAATCTGGTCCTCGGGTGAGAAAGTGTCAAAAACATAATTAGACTGATACACAAAGCCAGCAACAACTGAAAAATCACAAAATAAAAACCTCACCGAGGTACAGCACTCCAAGCAAGAAACAGGACATTCGGTTCAGTCCCACACAGAGGACTGTATATCAGTCTTAAGAAGATACAAAAATCAAATAATGCGGGAAGTACTTAAAAATAAGTCTGATGAACACAGGATGGCTGCTCAAGCGTGTATGAGCATTTTAGACGTTTACAAGATGACGTGTTTATGAAAAAAAAATTCCTAACTTTTAAAATGTCTGCATTTTCCAAAGACCAATCCCGTCCACCCCTAGGAGGATTAATGTTTAATCCTCCTAGGTCCAGCCCCCCCCCCCCTATGGTGGCAACATTACATTCACAAACATAATTCATAATTACTGTATTATGTTAACTTTAAACCGTACAAAATTCCTACACCTAAACAAGTAGCAATATTCACAAACATGATTCATAATTATAATGTTTTACTTTAAACCGTACAAAATTACCACACTTAAACAACCAAAAACTTTGTAAATGTTAAAACTATTTTATACCATGACATGATTAAATTAACAACAAGCATCTACTCCAGGTCCTACGAACTTTCATGGTGAGTAAAAGTAACTTAACATCATTGTGTTACCATTTAGTGTTTTTTATTGAAAATGCTATCTACATGAAAGATCTGGCTTAATCGTGTTCAGTTAAGTGGTGTGGCACGCGACGATATTCGTTATTAAAATTTTTACCTAAAAGGTCATCGAAACTATAAAATTTAACCCTGTGTTTTATACAAGAATTATTCTCACGGTTAACGATTAAGTTATCTCATCATCAAGCTGTAATTTTTTACAGTTTAACGTTGTTTTTTTGTACAAAATATTATTGCAGGTATTTTACGTGAGACTGAATTTTTACAACATCAGGAATCTTGAAAAAAGGTTAAATAAAATGCAATAAATAAATTATGTTTTAGTTTGCTCAATTTATTAGTGGATTTTTTAATATTTTATTTTAATACATATTTGTTGTTTTTAACTGTGGTGTTTTCCAGAAATGACCGATATGTGTACAAAGTTTGCGATGTTCTAGGTTTCTTCCACCTGAGGACGGGGTCAGATTAGATGCTGAAACGTTAAACTGCTTTTTAAGACATAAAACTCTAACCATAATAAGTTATGGAAAACTGTTAATTCTCTAGGATCGGTTATATCTCTAGTCTTCAAATGGAAAGGCTCTAATTCGATTCTGAAAGGGATAATTTCTTGACCAAAATATCATTTGTCACTAGGCTACCAAATAATGATGCAACCCAATTAAAATGTTGAGATAGATCAACAAGACCGGGGTAGGAACCATTCTTTTAGTAAGAATACCGATTGCGTATAGACACAAATACAGGGTGACACAAAGGAACCGGACGTTTTTTAAACAGCTGTTCCATTGTTGTTGCACGTGGTAGGAAGATTGAAGCTATGTCATTACCTTCAGTGAGGTTTGCCATTTTTGTTAAAATGGCTCAGTGGACCCTAGACCATCGCGTTTTCGCATACACAACTTTAGTCCGAAATGGTGAATCCGTCGTCAAATCCAGCGGGAATTTAGTCAACATTTTAATATTGAACGCCATGGAACGGTTCCAAGCCGAAATACGCTATTAAGCTGGGTTTAAGGGTTCCGAACAACTGGGAATATAACAAGAAAGCAACCACCAGGCCTTGTTAGAACTTCGAGAACATCCGAAAACATCGCCAGAGTGAGAGCAGTATTGAATGAATGTTTCCTAACAAGGTGATTTCTCGCTTTGGTGACATGCCGTGGCCGCCAAGATCATCTGGCTTGTCCACTAGTGATTATATCCTTTGGGGGTTTCTTAAGGAGCGTGTTCATGCTCACAAACCACGCGCTCTAGAGGATTTGAAGTTTGCAATCACAGAAGATATCAATGGCATTCAACCTCCTGACCCGAGTTTCAGAGGATTTTCAGACCAGAATGAACATTTGTAGATAAGTAAATGGCCGCCGTATGCATGACGTCATTTTCAAAAAAATGACGGTTTTGTAACAAATGGCAAATGTTTACCTCACTATGTACAGTATTAAAACCAGTCTATTCCTTTTAACTACTGTGTACTACTTATTTAAAAAACGTCCGGTTCCTTTGTGTCACCCTGTATAATTCCCCAAATAATCCTATGAACAACTGCAAACGTCCAGTACAGAAACAGTTTAGTCATCTGGTCTAATTATTTGAATTCACAGCATCCACTTTTAAAACGTTACAAAACGGTACTTTTACGCCGGCCCAAAAATCCGGTAAAAAGCAGGTTCCAAATTTCCAAACCAGGTACGCGTGCTGTAGTCCATTATTTGGCTCATTAAACTAAGCGAAACGCCGCGTCAGGCCGGTGGACACTTCAGCACAGCGGGGTATCAAGGTACAAGGGAGTGTAGGACTTTCGGCCTGGGGTGATTATGAGGAACTTACCCTCCGCAACAAACAATAGGGAACATAGGTAGCTCTGAGTCTGTTGCTCCCGAAAGATTCCCTATAGGTTAATTTCAAAGGTTTTGTGGGTAAAAGGAAGTAGGGAAGGGGAGATAGGGGTGTGTGACACAGCAAGCTGGGCAAAAACTATGAATAGGATTCTGGATTAGTACTTCCAGGAAGGACCTGAGCCCCAGGGCACTCTAGAGCAGGCATTAGATGGATTTAATTCAATGTCTAGACTGGCTAAAGCCTTTTATTGCAAACAGCAGTTGCAAACAGTAGTTTCAAATAAATGTTTGCAATTTTTATTTCATGATTTGTTTCCATGTTTCATGAAATTGTTTGAAATAATTTCGACCTTGATTATGACTCGCCTCGTTCTGGTTCTTCAGATTAGTCCTTTTGAGGATGTCAAGTGTCGAGGATGTTATTTTTGCCGTGGCGGCGTGTGTCGTGTTGTCAAAGCAACATAGGCGAGACGATGCTGGGTGAACATCGGTGATTGTATAAATCATCAAATTAAAATTATTATTAATTTTTAAAGATTGCAAGGAGTTAATTATAACCCTTTTAATTCACATGAGACGTTATTGTTATTTTTAGATCAGACGACCTTGTCATTTGAGATTAGTGTTAATTCATTGACAGTCAAACAGCATTTTCCCGATTAATTAAACACTGAATCGAGATACATGGTGGTGCGAGTGATCACGTGAGTGAGACAGGAGGTGGTAGCATAGGGGATGGCGGAGAAATGTTTCTGTTTCGTGTTTCAACGGCTCATATTGACCGAAACTAGTGTTGCAAACAAAGAGTTTGCAACTTCCTTTGATCTTTACCGACTTCAAGTGGAAACAAAAATTTCTGTTGCAAACACTGAAAAACTGTTTGCAACAGCGAAATGTTTCGTCTAAAAATGTGTGTTTTTAGAGGTGTTTGCAATTTTTGTTTGCAACTCGTGTTTCAAACTCCGGTGTAAACGCGGCTTTAGCCACAAACACCGAGCTTGAAATTGTTCATTTAAACAGTTTTTAACCGACTTTAACGACAATTTGACCACGTATGGGTCAGCCCAAAAAGTTAAAGATACCAAAACAGTGGTGTATGTATAAATTTACCATTATATTAGTTAAAGACGTTATAGTTTTTATAGACAGGCTACTGTAGAAGGTGGGGACAACATCCGCCTTACATAATATATGTATTAAAGTTTTATAAACCATTTATAAATTAAATAAATTATTTACACGAAACGTGTACACGTTATTTGAAAAAGCATTTATACGATGAATTTAACTTTTACAGAATGTTTATACGACGTATACATGTATACTTAAAAATAACAATCGGTTGCATGTTAAAAATGTTATTATTACTGTACAAAAAAAAAGCAATTGCGTGACTATTTTAACTACTTTCACGTTACCGAATCTTTCGTAAAATTCGTCATGTGGAACGATCTGTGGTGACAAAAGTTAATTAAGACTTGTTTACCATAGGAGTTAAACATTGAAACAAATTTAAACGTTGAGTAAATCAAGAATTTCCAGACCACTTAACATGAAGAAAACTATTTTTTTTTATTTAGGACTCCTTTCTACCCTAGTTAAAAATTGCTTAACACCACCTCACCATTTCATAGGTACTATACCATTAAACATTTTGATTAACAATAATTGTACACTTGTTTTTTACAGTAACAAATATGGTGCTTAAGCGTAACAAATGAACAAACAACCACACCCATATCAGACAAACAGATACAATTGAGTTGTTAGGCTTAAAATAAAATAAAAATTAAACTATGCTAAACAAAACAACAATGAATCAGCGAAATTCTAATTTTATTAATTTAACTGGTCATAATCCTTTTGGTAAATCCGGAAAGGCAATTTATTTTATAGATGGAGGCGTCTATTTAAATCTTACATTGGCTAATATCTAACATGGACTTAGATCCAAAATAAAATTATTTTTGTCACATTTAAAATAATTCCAACGAAATCCAAAAGACAACTCCTTAGTATCAACCAAATACGGGGTGAGTCTTCTAAGCTATCCTAAACAGATTGCAGACAAACAGCTTGACTTACAGAGATGAAACAAAACTTTTCCCCACGAATTCATACGCAAGGAACAACGTAAAAAGTTTTTTTAACATATGTCATGTTATGCATAGTTTTTAGCTCTAGACTAGACAAGCAATTTAGTGAAAACAGAACTCCTTTATCTCTATCCGTTTCAAAATGGCGGCCATTTGTATTGAAAATATTAATTGATATTTACAGAATACCCTGTTAAAACCACTAAACCTGTTTTCGTTCTGTTTAAAAATTCTTAATCCTCGTGAGTTCTGCTTTAAT